ATAGGCAATTATTGGTTTTTACAAATGCGGAGCGTGTTACAGCGCGTCGATCAGCGCTGTAAAACGCCCAGGTGTGAACCAGGCCTAAAAGGGAGGACTAGAATTCAAACTGACTAGCCCTCCCATTCAGCAAAATTCATGTGAATAAATGCTTTCCAGCCATGCCTGAAGAAGAAAGTGAAGTGTTTTTGAAAGTTTGTACCCCAATAGTTATCCAACACAAGGTATTACCTACATTTTACTTTCCTACTGAAATGTGAACATATAACAATATAGCAATGTTCTTACCCAACAGTCTGCAGATGTGTTTTCTTGGTTTCCATAAGGTCACCTTGTGTGCTTTTCAAGTTCATTAAAGCCTTTAAAATGACTACGTTTTTAAAATCCTGAAGAGAAATTCTCAGTAATTTATAGAGAGATAAAAAGCGGCTTTTATCTTGAGGTAAAACAAAAAAAGCAGTGGCATACAAGGAGTCCAAAATCAACTGGAGAACGTGACCTTCTTGGAGAGACTGCTTCTCTTCAGTACGCCGACACATAGGATGCACAACAATGGAAGCAAGAGGAACTCTGCTCAGGGTGAATATATTTTGAGAACAGTCAAATGTTTTTTTACTCCTAAAGGCCATATGAAAATCTATTTGGACCACGACCATATCATGTTGAGTAAAGAACAACCAAACCGGCAAAGCATTATCAGTATTGTGTTTAGAGTTGAGCTTTACAACACAAAAAGGTGCAGAACTTGAATCGGCTCCCCTAGAGTTCTTTTCTTGCAGGTCTCCTTGACAGTTCCCCTTGGAAAGGTCATCAAAACAAAACAGACAGACAGGAAAAAACCCTTTAACCTCACAAGCTGCTAAATGTATCTTGTTTTTCTCTACCAGGTGTTGAAAGAAACTCTGGAGTCCAGCTTTGAAAGTCGGGGCTGAGACAGATGGCAGTGAAATGCTGTTTTGCGAACATTGCTCATGTAAACAAGAAGAAAATTCTTCCAAGTTTTGAGAGTCTGTTACTATGACTATACACTCCTCTCCATTTTTTATATTAAGAGCTAAGCATGTCTCTGGTATTAGGACTCTGAATTCAGTTACATCTCCATAATTAAAATAGCAAACTAGTTTTAGCAAAGACGGAAGGGAAATGTGGCTTTCTTCCGGCTCCTGACAATGGACCTCAAACAAGGCAATTAGGGTATCCGTTAACACAAGGCATGATGAAAATGATTTGACGTTACTGTCTCCCTGAAGGTGAACTGAGAAGTTCCAAAGTACCCGTACAATACGGATATTTGTGTCTTGAGGATGTGAAGGAGTTCTCCACTCTACGCTATGATCTTTCTCATGGAGTCCCATTTCAAAGTAGCCATCCACTGGCTCACAAGAATCTCCTCTTGGATTATTCCTTGTCTCCACCTTCCCAGCTAGATGCTGCTTCTGCTTTAGTGCATGAGCAATTGATGTGGAAAAGTAAGGAATAAAATCTTGATCAGTGTCAGTATTTGAAACGCAAGGGATAGGAAAAAGGGAGCAGTGAAGTTCTGGTATTACTGTAGATTCCTCTTCTAATGCAATCAGACTTCCCATTAAAAGGAGAAAATAAACAAATTAGCTTTGTGAAACAAGAATATGCTCAAGAGCTTAACAGTCACATACTGTATATTGTATAGTTTTATTAAATAATGGAAAGAGAACAAGTGAACCAGAAAAAAAAAACATGTGGACCAGAAAAAGCCAAGTGGAAGCATAGAATAAATAAGAAATGTCAAATATATTTTTATATTAAAGGAACAGAATAAAAGAACAGAAGCAACAAGAAGCCATTAAAAACCATGTGAAACTGACAAAATGAAACAGCATTGGAGGAGAAAAGAAAGCAATTGTGACAAAGCTTGTACCGCCAAATAGAAGAAAGCACATGGCATGAAGGATGAGGAGCATAAAAATAGGACAGATACCTCATACACGAGACAAATCATCTACACCAGGGGTGCCCATTAGGTAGATCGTGATCTACCAGTAGCTCTCAAAGCTGATGCTGGTAGATAGTCCAACTCTATAGGTTGGACTCGATGGACTCTCTATAGGTTGGACTAGATGGACTTGTGTCTTTTTTCAACCTGACTAACTATGTAACTATGTAGATCACGAAGAATGTGAATGGTGGCCCCTTTATTCCATTTTGGTATATTTATTTAGCTGTGCACACATGATTACCTATTAGCCTGAGTCTGCTGAGCCAAGCTCCCCGACACCTTTCTGGTGGATACTGGTGGTTGAAGTGCTTTGTATTACATCAAAGAATATTAGTTTACACAGCCTGTTGCACTGCACTGTTTGCAAAATACAGCAAGGTGAGCCAGGAGAGAGAGAGCGGGGAGGGATACACAGGAGAGAGAGCAAGGAGAGACAGCCAGGGAAGAGAGAGAGGAGAGACAGCCAGGGGAGAGAGCAAGGAGAGACAGCCAAGTCAGCGAAGAGAGACAGCCAGGAGAGAAAACGAGGAATGACAGCCAGGAGAGCAAGGAGAGACAGCCAGGAGGATGAGCAAGGAGAGACAGCCAGGAGAGAAAGCAAGGAGAGCGAGAGAGGTTTTTTTTTCATTGGTAGATCTCATGTAGCTCTTCATATGAAAAGTAGATCTTAACACAAAAAATTGTGGGCACCCCTGATCTACACACATCAGCATATTCGAAGCATGCTCCCGGGCGAGTTCTAGGGCCCATTTAAGGGTCATTCACACAGCTGTTCTGGTGCGTTGAATTATAGTGCAATATGTCAAAGTGGATATGCAGCATTGTATCAACATAAAGTTCACCACAACACACACAGCAATGCATTACTATGTATTATTATAAACAGACTGCACACAGGTATAGAAGTCACTGGTACTATACCTAGCAGCTGTATGATCCTTTTGAAACCAGATCTTTAACAATAAAAATAATACACACTGAGGGGAATTTATCAAAACTGGAGCTGACAAAATCTGGAGCAGTTGTGCACAGCAACCAATCAGCTTTTCTGTTCAGTTACGATTTGAAAATGAAAGGTGGATGTTGATTCGTTGCCACGCACTGCTGCTGCAGATTTTGCCTGCTCCAGTTTTGATAAATTCCCCTCACAGCGTTTTGTGTAACTCTATATAAAGCTGGTGTTTGTAAATAAAAAGTGCTCAGTGATCAATCAAATCATGAAAGTGCTCCAATCCAAATTTTGTTAAACAAACAAGTATCTGGAAACTCCTTTAGTGGGTAAAGGTCCCAAATTCTCTACTCTCCCCTTCTCCTCAGTATTCAAAATATCAAACACAAAAAAATGCTCATCAGGTAAATTTTTTTTATTGTAGTCAGTAAAAGAACAAAAATGCACTTACATTATTTTAGATGAATAAAAGCATGGCAAAATATATTCCTTGCATGGACATATCCCCAAAAAGGTGCATTTTGTCTATACTCTTGAAAAGGTCCTATGGACAAAACGCTTCGGTTGATGCGCTGCACCTGTTTTGGGATGTTTATGTGAGGAACATATTTTGCCACGCTTTTATTCATCTAAAATAATTTAAGTGCATTTTGGTTCTTTAACTGATTACAATAAATATTTTTATCCGATGAGCGATTTTTTGTTTTATATGTTGAATACTGGGAAGGAAGTGGAGTTAGAGGAGAAATGGAGAGGAGACAATTGGGACCTTTACCTGCTATAGGTTGACCTTTATCTCTATAGGTTGAACTCGATGGACTTGTGTCTTTTTTCAACCTGACTAACTATGTAACTATATAGATTTTTCCAGATACTCTTGTTTATCAGCTATTGAGGTGATCTGGGGATATTGGTCTACATCAGAAGAAACCACCACGGGACAGAAGCGGATTGACTACAGTATATACAATACAAGGTCACATTGTATCTGGCAAGTGTAGTAAGGTGGGGGGCACACAGTGGTGATTTATACTATTTCACCCATTGGAAAGAAGGATTTTTTCAAGAAATAGACATTAACATTTCACTTTTGAATAATTGGGCAAATATATATTTTCACAGTGAACTGCAGCCATGTTTGTTTAACAAAATATTTATTGGAGCACCTTATTGATTTGATTAATCACTGAACACTTTTTTTTTATTGACTAGCAAACATCAGTTTTATTTAGTACAGAGTTACACATAGCACTGTGTAAATGAGGTTCAATGCGTTACTATGTGTTGTGAAGTGCTGTTCTAAAGTGCGTTGGGTTAGTGCGCTGGGGTGCCACCTAAAATGAATGGCACCAAAGTGCACTAACAAACAAAATATTGCTGCAATTCACCACACTTGAAAGGTATGAATGGACCATTAAATTGGTACATTGTATTCAACACATAACCTTATGTTGTGCATTGTATTAAGGCAACCCATTCATTTAACAGGCTGCCCAACGCACCACAAAAGGCACAAAAAATATTTAGCAACATGCAGCAGGTGTGTTGGGGTGCAATTCAGAATAAGTGTATTGCTTGGCACTAATACAGTGGTACCTCGGTTCACGAACGCTTCTGTTTGCGAACAGGAATTAGGCAAAATTGTGCTTCCGTTCGTGAACTCCGCATCGGGTGATGAACACAACCGCAGCCATCTTCCCTGCTCTGACACATAGTCGTGGCTTCCTCTAGTCGAGATCAGAGGAATCGCAACCAGAATCGTGGAACGAATTAAGTTCGTGAACCGAGGTACCACTGTATGCATGATATGTTACCGCAACACAAGATTTTGAATTCGGGCCTAATATCATGCAGAAATTCTTGAAAAAAAACCCAGCAACTAAATAGTATTACAAAATATGAATTGTCCTTTACAGTCGAAATGTCTCAAATATGGATAAAATCCTTGGGTGTGGTAACTATTACATGTGTGCAGTCAACAGAATGCTGGAATAAAAAAATCTGTTTGAAATCATACAAATAAAAACAAACACGATAATTAAATTGCTACACGTTTACTGTGTTTGTGTATTAGGCCAAATGTGTTCTAAAAGTGTAAGGTAAAACCTCACCTGGCCACATGAAGATTATTATTTTGCAAAACTGCATCAGATTTGGATGGCTGCAAGCAGAAATGTTCATTATTCAAATGATATCAAATCATTCTGCTCTTCACATCGCTTACTCCCTTACACAAGTATGACAAATAAGCAGGAATACTAAAAAAAACTATCAATTCTTGGGACAAACTAATTCAAATAACAGACTATGTTCTTGATGACACAATAAACCTGTAGCTCAAGTTCAAGAACATAAGTGAACTGTAAACATACCACACTGAATTTTAAATCATGAGCAAACATGGCCACCAAAGAATGAAAATATATACAAAAAGGAAACAATTGGGTATAAAAAAAGAAACATTCTTTTTAGTCATGGAGATACACTTAGTGTCTGTAAATCCCAACAACGAATTTCCCTGATCTCCTCCCTTTTGGCATGTTAAATTTTAGGGATGCACCGATACTAGTATCAGTGTCGATACCGAGTATTTGGGCGAATATTCGCCCAAATGCACCAATACTTACCTCCGATACAGGAACTTCCGGTCAGAGGGAGGCATCCCTCTGCCTGCAACTGCCGAGGAAGCATGGAGCCAGCTTCCTTTCCAATCAGGATTGGCTAGGAAGCCGGTTTCACTTGTTGCTAGGCAGCCTGGCTTCCTAACCAATCAGGAAACCGGGCGGCATGTAATGAACTGCCTCAGAGCTTCCTGATTGATCAAGAAGCCAGGCTGCCTAGGAACAAGTGAAGCCGTCCTCCTAGTAATCAGGAAGCCAGGAGGTGGGTCTTGATGTGTTGCCCGGCTTCCTTATTGGCTAGGAAGCCAGCTGCACTTGTTGCTTGGCAGCCTGGCTTCCTGACCAATCAGGAAGCTGGACGGCACCTCATGACTCGCCGCCCGGCTTCCTGATTGGTCAGGAACCCAGGCAGCCTCGGCATGTGAAGCCGGTGATCTTTCGCTAGAATCTTTGCTTCACAGGCAATCAGGAAGCCAGGCGAGGAGTCATGCTCCGCCGCCCGACTTCCTGATAACCTGGGCACACGCCAACAGTACTCTGTATCGGTGACTACCGGAAAGAAAGTACCGAAAAACCGGTATTGGTGCATCCCTATTAATTATACAAATGAACGTATTTTGTGGGTCTTCAAAAGAGAAGAGAAGATTGGAGCCGCTGCACATCAACATATGATTTAAAGACAGACACATTGACTAAGCAATATGTTGTAATTATTAAGAAATTGATAAAGAAGTTTATTAGATGGATAACCTTATATGCAATGTGCCTGTCTGGTCCAGGGGGATGATTTGCCAGGGGTTGCTTTCAAGCAAAACATTTTACATGGGTGGTATTGTCAATAAAAAATGTCTAAAATTGTATTGTTATTAGTGATGTTCATAAGCTTCCTTGTGTTCCAGCTTTTCCAGGTATGACACCTTAAAAGGCCCATTCATTTGTTTTGTTTGTAGAGCTGCAACAATTCGATTTAGTCGATTAAAATCGACGATCGAAAACGTTACCAACGTTTTCCAATGTTCAGACAGTAAGTGCCCCGACCTCCCCCCCCTTCCCCGGAGCCTGGGACCCAACACTGTGCACCCCAACCCACCATCATACCCATCCTCTGCACCCCATCCCACCATCATACCCGTCCTCTCCATCCCTGTACCCCATTCCACCATCATCCCCGTCCTCTGCCCCCCATCCCACCATCATACCCGTCCTCGCCTTCCCTGCACTCCATTCCATCATTATACCCGTTCACTCCATCCCTGTACCCCATTCCACCATCATCCCCGTCCTCTGCCCCCCATCCCACCATCATACCCGTCCTCGCCTTCCCTGCACTCCATTCCATCATTATACCCGTTCACTCCATCCCTGTACCCCATTCCACCATCATCCCCGTCCTCTGCCCCCCATCCCACCATCATACCCGTCCTCGCCTTCCCTGCACTCCATTCCATCATTATACCCGTTCACTCCATCCCTGTACCCCATTCCACCATCATCCCCGTCCTCTGCCCCCCATCCCACCATCATACCCGTCCTCGCCTTCCCTGCACTCCATTCCATCATTATACCCGTTCACTCCATCCCTGTACCCCATTCCACCATCATCCCCGTCCTCTGCCCCCCATCCCACCATCATACCCGTCCTCGCCTTCCCTGCACTCCATTCCATCATTATACCCGTTCACTCCATCCCTGTACCCCATTCCACCATCATCCCCGTCCTCTGCCCCCCATCCCACCATCATACCCGTCCTCGCCTTCCCTGCACTCCATTCCATCATTATACCCGTTCACTCCATCCCTGTACCCCATTCCACCATCATCCCCGTCCTCTGCCCCCCATCCCACCATCATACCCGTCCTCGCCTTCCCTGCACTCCATTCCATCATTATACCCGTTCACTCCATCCCTGTACCCCATTCCACCATCATCCCCGTCCTCTGCACCCCATTACACCATCATACCCATCCTCTCTATCCCTGCATTTCACTTTTTTTTTACTTCCACCGCTCCAAGCTTGCTCCCGTGATGGACTACAATCTCCATACAAACTAGTAGTCCATCACTGGAGCCTTTTTGTTTTTTTTTATCCGATTAATCGAACTTAATAATCGGCTAACTAATCGATTATGAAAATAATCGTTAGCTGCAGCCCTATTTGTTTGTTTAATTATGTATAGCTGTGTGGTGTCTTAGTTTCTTTGGTGATTCATAACATTTTGTACAATTTCTAATATGCATGGGATAATATGTAAGAGCAATTGTATTTAGATTTCTGCACAGGAGGTAACTCTGTGTGAAAATGGCCTTCTGAAATACTGTATAAGCATTTACACATCAGGCTAGTATACCTATTATAAAAGTTCACAAGTAAAACTGGGTACAGCAAGTCAGTGCAACATTAAAGTGACACTAAACTCAGGAGTTTAATCTTCAAAATGTATTCACGCACCTTAACTATTAACAAAAATGTATCTTATTTGTGTATCACTTAAATCATCTCTGAATTGGTGCTGACACTGTCTTTCCTTCTGGAGGGTGGCTACTTTTGGTCCCCATGGTCCCTGTGCGTGTTGTAAAGTAGACACATCTCCAAGCTCGCTCCCGTGATGGACTACAATCTCACGTTTAGTTTACCAATTTGTATTAAGATAGCAGTCCATCACGGGAGTGAGCTTGGAGCCGTGCCTACTTTACAACACATCTAGGGACCATGGGGAACAAAAGTAGCCACCCTCCAGAAGGAAGGACAGTGTCAGCACCAGTTCAGATGATTTGAGGATCTACAGCTGAGTAATGCACACATAAGATACAATTCTATTAATAGTTAAGGTACTTGTATGCATTTTTAAGATTTAACTTCTGAGTTTAGTGTCACTTTAAGAAGTGTAATAATGTAAACAATATCAACTACTTACCAAGCATGTATGGCTAGTCTTTCCACATAGCAAACACAAATACATACAACGTACATATATGATTAACACACTATTACTGTATAATAGACTATACCCCATCATTTACCTCTCTGCTTTTTCCTCTATCATGTACAGAATGTTGGATTCCACCTTTTCTTTGCGAGTGATCATTTTGGGTCAGACTGGTGGAAGTTCTGCTGTCTGCGGGCCGGTCTATGAAATACAAAATAGTCAACTACTCACAACAATCACAAACGCACAGACGCATTTAAAGCTGAACTCAGGGCAGATATATAAAACACAAATTAATGCAACTCATAATGCATACAATTAATGAATCATTTATTACACACACACAGCACAGCAGCATTCGGATATTCACTCACTGCTGTGCGACCCCTATGAGAATAGGGGCGAACAGCAGTGAATGAACTGTTGAACGCTGGCCTCAGCTGATCCAGATGTTGGATCGGCTGATGCGAATGTATTCTACACTTCGTTTCAGCCGAACCAAAGTGAAGTGAAGGGAGCCGAAGGCAGCCGTACAGGGCTGAAGTGAATAGCCGAATTGAGTTTGGCTCCCTTCACTTCAGTTTGGTTATTTACTTTACTAAACACGTTCCTGGTGCATCAAAACAAAATGTGCACAAAGTAGAAAAGCCTGTCCCCTGCCAGCATGATGCAGAAAAGTATCCTTGCTCTGTGTGGAATTAGAGGTCAGTCTGTAGTGCTAAACACTCCCTTGCTGAGTCAGATCTATAGTATAGCTATAAATCAGCAAAACCCATGATCCCTGTTGATTGGAGATTGTCCTCTGCTCAATCACACTGTCAGGTTCCACCACAGCACTGTGCAACATGCTCATGTGGATCAGAGCAATCTCCAAAACGTGCAGCTAAATAGCGATGACCTTGATTAACTCTTTCCTGGCACAAAGAAATTCACTGGAAGACATTTCTTTAAAGTGGTGTGCCACATCTTTTTGTTAGTTTTGGATGGAGTAGGGAAGGTTAAAAACACTTATCAGTGTTGTATGTAGTCTGTGTGCCAATGGGGAGATTTCCCTTCACTTCCTGTTGCTCTACATTGTAAGGGGCATCCTCTCTTTAAAAGTTGTTACTGTACCAAGTCTCTCCATTTGAAGATCTCCCCTCTTTTCCTTTTCTGGTGACAACTCAAGATTTCAATTATCCCTCACTTCCATTCATGATAACAATTGTCACTGGTTGTTGGCTGCTGCAAATCAATACAAGCCACTTGCCTCTGTGACATATGTAGCCTTTTTAAATGTTTAGATAAAAGATGTAAATGTAATTAGTTTGATGTCAATACTCATCAATCTGTGCTTTAGGGCTTGTTCACACCATGTCCGGACCAGGACTGGATGCATTCTTGCTTATGCAGTGCAGTGCGTTTTGATGCATTCCACTGGCGCCCTGTGCTTTGCACAGATGAGAGCAGGTTCACCCTGAGCACATGTGACAGACGTGAAAGGGTCTGGAGAAGCCGTGAACGTTATGCTGCCTGTACCATTGTTTAGCATGTTCTGTTTGGTGGTGGGTCAGTGATGGTCTGGGGAGGCATACCCATGGAGGGACGCACAGACCTCTACAGGCTAGACAATGGCACCCTGACTGCCATTAGATATCGGGATTAAATTCTCGGACCCATTGTCAGACCCTACGCTGGTGCAGTGGGTCCTGGGTTCCTCCTGGTGCATGACAATACCCGGCCTCATGTGGCGAGAGTATGCAGCCAGTTCCTTGAGAATGAAGGAATTAATAGCATTGAATGGCCCATACGCTCGCCTGACCTGAATCCAATAGAACACCTCTGGGACATTATGTCTCGGTTCATCCGACACCGCCAGGTTGCACCTCAGTCTGTTCAGGAGCTCAGTGATGCCCTGGTCCAGATCTGGGAGGAGATACCCCAGGACACCATGCTTCATCTCATTATGAGCATGCCCCGACGTTGTTAGGCATCCATACAAGCACGTGGGGGCCATACAAACTAATGAGTACCATTTTGAGTTGCTGCAATTACATTTCGGCACAATGGACTAGCCTGCTGCATCATTGGTTCACTTTGGTTTTTGGGGTGTCTTTGAATTCAGCCCTCTGTTATATATATATATATATTTACACATATACATATAAAATGTACACCTGACTGTGTATTCATAATTATTTTCAATACAATGAAATGCATCAAACCTTCAAAAGAGTGCAAAGTCCCGGGTGTCTTTTATGCAACACCCATATTTATAAAAGTCCAAAAACTTCAAATAAATAGGATAATAAATCTTCCATCCCAGGTTATAACCGTGCTCCTCATTTCTTTTCAATGCACTCACCAGATGGTCGTTAAGATCTCATTTATATTACAGGAACCCCGATTACATTTCCTTGTTTGTTTTTCCAAATATCATAGCTTGTTAGGATAACTTTAGCTGTCTCCCCTTCCGCTCTATATTCAATCTTCCATAGATAACTCATTTCCAATGACAGCAAGATTGCACTTCGATCCACCAGTGCTCTCCTTCTCCTCCTACACTCATAGACTCCCAGTGCAAAGCTCAAACAGAAGGATTAACATCTCTCATTGTGCAGCATCTCAGTAAAACTTTTATGAAAACAAATAAAATACCCTTACAGACAACCCTTACAGTAAAATCAAGCTCATCTATCTCCTCGTGGGAATGTGTATCCACAATCACTCCCTGTTGGATACAAGCTGCCAGGAGGCGATAGATAAGCTTGATTTTACTGCGTTGTCTGTCTGTGAGTGTATTTTATTTGTTTTCATAAATATTTTACTGAGATGCTGCACAATGAGAGATTTTAATCCTTCTGTTCGAGCTTTGCACTGGGAGTCCATCTGTAATCTTGCTTTCATTGGAAACAAGTTATCTATGGAGGATTGAATGTAGAGTGGAAGGATAGAAAGCTAAAGTTATTCTAACAAGCTATGATATTTGGAAAAGCACGGTGATAACCTGGGATTGCGAGTGCATTGAAAATAAATGAGGAGCACGGTGATAACCTGGGATTGAAGATCTACTGCATTGCATAATTTATTTGAAGTTTTTGGACTTTTATAAATATGGGTGTTGCATAAAAGACAGACAGGAGTTTGCAGTTCCACTGCAAGGGTTCACTTTTTAAATAACTGGAGTTCCTCTTTAAGTTCTTCTCCCTTAACAGTGTCATTATGTATGGCTAGAAGTATGAAAGTGCATGGGTTGTGTTTAAGATGCAGAAGCCAATGACCCATCCACATTAGCAAGGTTTCCACACCACTGATCTTCTGAGGTATCTTGCTAGCTGTGGTTAGCTTTATTTGAGGACTTACTTGTTTCAGAAATTAGAGTAAGACTTTGGAGAATGCCTGGCAGGGTGTGCGCAGGGGTGGCTTTCCTGAAAGGTTATAAAGCAAAACCTATAGCATCATGATCAACTAAGACACAGTCTTAAATTTCTCCTTAATAAAAAAAAAAAAACATTCGCTGAAGCTCTACTAAACTTAGGTCCCCAATAGCATGTGGGGCAACTATGTAGTCCCAGTGGAACTGGAAACATACTATTTGAGAAAAAAAAAGCCTGGTGGTTTTTCCTAATATTGGAGGACAGATTCTATAGAGCAGGGGTAACCAAACTCCGGCCCTCCAGCTGTGGGGAAACTACAAATTCCATGATGCATCTCTCTCTGGGAGTCATGTCTGTGGCTGTGAGAATCTTGCAATGCCTCATGGGATTTGTAGTTCCACCACAGCTGGAGGGCCAGAGTTTGGTTACCCCTGCTATAGAGGCTATTAAATTATTTTGGGATACCCTCAAAGCTGTGAATAGCATTTGCTGGACGTCAGCTATTTCAGAATTGAATGTTTTACAAGGTATACACAGGGTGATGCGATGATTTAGGATTAAAATAAAGAAAATCAAAAATTGTAGCCAAAGAAATGAGTTGTTCAAATATTAATGTAAAAGTGTGTGAATTTCATGCCAGAAACCGCAAGTGGGACCCACAAAGGAAGTGACAATCCCTACGAGTAAACTGATAAAATGCAAAAAGCATCAACCATATTGGTTGAAACCATCTGGGAATTCAGCTCTGAATGCTAAATGAGTAAGTGATAAATGTGAACTGAATTCAGTGTAGGGTGATAACTCTTCAAAATTATAAACTTTGGAAATACCACCTGACAGTCACCTTCCAAACCTCCCACTGCAAGAACACAAGTGCTAACTCTGGGGAAAAAAATTAAAATAATGGCATTCGATAGTATGGAAAGGTTAATGTCATGCTTAGCTCAGTACACTCAGGAGAGAGTGTCCCTGATTAAGAGTGGCTGTATCATTGGCTTAATTATTTCACAGCTCCCTTAAAAAGGAGAACTATGGGGTCAGGGCTTTTCCCCATAGTTCTCCTTAGGGTAACGGGAGGACACAAACTAGCGTCCTCCCGTCAGCTCACGGTATACTGAGACGCCGGAGCGGATCCCAACATCGATGTCGAGATCCGCCCAGCTGCGTGAGTGACAGCTGGCTCTGCTTATCTAGAGGCAGAGCCAGCTGTATCCACCCCCTCCCCCTCCCCCGTCTGTTCTGCCAGTCAGCGCTGGAGGATCGGAGCGGGGAGGGAGGAATCCATCCCCTCCCCTGTCACGGCAGAGAGCCGTGATAGGATCGAGAAGTGAGCGAACACCGACATGTGTTTGCTCACCTCCCGATCTACTGAGCCGACCTGTGACAGTCTCATTGTCACAGGTCGGCTAGAACTCTGAGGTGAGTGAAAAGCACTCACCTCATAGTTCTCCTTTAAGTGAGGTCATATGCAAGCCCTTAAGAAATAATAGAAAATGTGCAATTCAGGCTTTTCTCAACATGATGAGGACCATGTGTACTGTATGTGGTAAAAATCCACTTGACAAAGAACACCCAATCTCGTGCAAGGACATATAAAAAAGCAGGATTTGTGCTTGCACATGATTGGATGATGGAAGTCAATATTATTATAATACAGGATTTATATAGCGCCAAAAGTTTGCGCATCACTTTACAATATACGGAAGACATTACAATCACAATACAATTCAAGACAAGATGGTAGAGGGCCCTGACCCTGAGAGCTTACAATCTAAAAACAGCGTTACCATATTCAATAAGCTAAGTGAAAATCTGCTTTGCAAAGCGAACATGCTTTTCCCATTTAGTAAATTAGCCACTATGAGTTATACTATCTAAATGGGTGACTCCACTCCCATACAAAGGAGTAAATGTCACCAGCTCACATTCTAGGCCTATGTAAATAATGGATGCATTAATCCCAGAATTTTCCAGATACTCCATTACATCACATACAATGACAGGCATCTAGTGTCCTGGACTGTGTAGATATTATAATTATATTTCATAAAAAGAATACCATTGAACCAAACCCAGACAACAAATGTCATTTTTTTTTTT